GAGTCGATGCCATTGCCGGACAGAGTAGGTATGAGAATCCGATGTAAGCTCACACACGACGACGGCACAGAACAGCTGCACTGGGGCACTGTAGTGAAGGACTTGGCGGAGAAGGTACTCATATGTTGGGACGAAGCGGATCCAGGCCAGAGTGCATTTGAGATATTGAGATTGGACGAGGAGCAGTGGGATGGTGGCGATTCCGAAGATAACGCTGGAAGCATCTCCGAGGGGGAGGCGTGTCGCGGCACCGAATGATCGGCTATTATTATCGGGCGTGCGCGAAATGCTCCAGTGAGTAACGGCAGGCAGGAAGGCCAGAGGATAGATATATGATGCTGAGATTAGGTGTTTGAGTTATCATTGCTGCTAATTAAATTGATACTATGAGCATGTGAGATAACTCCGTAGCCATCTGGCTCAAGTCTGTATTTTTACTCTCCATTTTCACATGAGTACTAGTCGCGTTGAGGAACCGTCCAAACCAACCGAGTCGGCCGACCGTAACATTGGAGCACCTTAGCACGCAGAAACAATTGTGTTCGGACCGAAAATTGGGGACAAGGAAACAACGTGGCACAATGGTTTAGCCACTGGCACAACATGTGCTATGTGTAAAATTGACAGGCGCGCGAATCGAACCTTCGCTCACCGGGAGACAGGCATGAACTTCCCTGTCTCCCCATTTAGACATTCGAAATATCTTTATGTCCATCATTCCAGAAGTGTTGTGTCGGCAGCCTCCATCAGCAGCCTCTGGAGTATCGGAGCATTCGGGATGGAATAGACGCCATCATGTTATCTTTTCCAAAGACAACGAGTGCTTCACCTATCACGGTCGTAGCTACTTTGACAGGCCGCGTAGTGCCTCTGGGGACCAAGGGGGACCAGGAAGGGTTATGTAAGCCAAGCTCTCTATGGGAGTCTATTCGGTGTGGTCTCAATGATAAGTGTGAAGGGAACATTCGGACATGGTCAACTACATGTGTCGGTGACAATATGAAAATTGTGAGAGGAAAATTTTGGGAAATTCTCGTTGGTTTCTGTGCAGTTCTACCCGAATTCATATATAAACTCAGCGGAGAAAACTATAACGAAGACAATAATGGAGTTTTACCCTAGTGATATGAAAACACTAGTGTAAAACATATTTCCCCACTACTGCATATCACCGCGAATACCGCGCTTTTTCACAGAGTATTACGCCACTTCACGTAAAGCGGGTCGTTAGACTCGCATAAATATAGCGATAACTATCGAGCTCAGCTGAGGAAAGCGAACTTCCGTTGTAAGGTACCCCACGTGGCGACTAGACTGCATCATCCCGGGATCAGAGCTATTCCGAATTTGCCTTCCCAAAGCGAAGAAGGCGTACAACTCCAGAGGGCTGCAACTGACGCCATCTATGATACTCAAAGAGGGCCGTTGGGACCACCGACACACTGTGGTATTTTCTAAGGATAACGAACATAATCTTCCGAATCAAAGATCATATTTCGATCGCCCTCGGGAGCCGCTGAACTTCTCCACTCACCCGTCCTTGAATGATGGACTGCAGTCAACTGGGCTGAAGCCGAGTTGGAAGCTACCTCAGGAGGGTCAATCCCCGAGCAAGTCTGGTAGTGAGCTCTCTAGTAGATGTTGTTGATCATTGTTGTTATCATCACAGTTTTCCGTTCATCATTTTACGAGCCTTGTACCTCCGAACCACCATGGGTCGACCGTCACCACATTCTGTTTAGCAAAGGCAACCCTACTTTCGGGAAGAACCTCCGTAGTTACTTTGATAGGTAGGATCGATTCGAATCTGCAGGGCAAGAAAAATTGCCGATTTTCAGGCCCAGGGAGCTCTCAGTTACTCCACTGAAGGACTCTGTAGGGAACCCCACAGCACTTGTGTTTTCTAGCATATTTTCAGGGCGCTGATGATACTACATTTCCTCGTCAACTGGATGTGACTTGGAGTCTACCACCAGATGGAGAGAAAATCAGAAGAGAACAGGTGA